GGAGCACTCTTTCACTATCGTGTGTGTATTGTGCTTTGTGTTGTGTCTTTGCTCCTGTGACTGCGTGTGTTATACTGTGTGTTATACAGAGCAGTATAACACACGCAGTCACAGGAGCAAAGACACAACACAAAGCACAATACACACACGATAGTGAAAGAGTGCTCCGACAGAAGAGGATAGGTGTGACTCGCGTAGTGAGATACGACGTAGGGATGAAATATCCAGAACTATTTTAATATTTTTAACATTTAACATTTATCAATATAATATTATAAATATATATTTTTGTTATTTTAATATGAAGACGACAAGGCATGCAATGAACTAGTTTAGCGTAAATCAAATAAGCACCTGAAGATGGCACTTTTGTGCCGAAACATATAGTGCGAGAGAGAGGAGGAGATAGATGAGTGTATGCACTGGAAGACGGTTGAAATAAATCATGAAGTTTTGATTTGTTATCGTCGTTCTCAAATATCTGAAGTGCGCCACATTTTCAGAACATCTGTTTTCTATCGTTATGTCACGATTTTGCCCTGTATTTTGGTATTGAAAGTAATTTATAGAATATCACAGCAAGATGCAAACCTTGAAGTTTAGGGCAGAGATAGTCAACTGTAATTACCAGTGGCAGATCCAAAGAACAGTGGAAAAAGAATGGTAAAGAAAAGCTTCATAATTTCTGTCAAAACAGCAAGTGGGACAGAGGAGAAAGATTCTTTGGAAGTTACTTCAGTTATGGCTCGTCTCCGTGGTTCCGCGAGATAAAAGTGAACCGTCGTGCCTTCATATCAATAAAGCGTATGAGAGCAGGTCTCACCAGCCTTACAGCAAGCTTAAATAGATTTAACTTTGTGGTGACGGCTGAAAACGGTGGAATATATCTTCTGGAACTGTAAACTGCATGAGGACCAAAGGGCAACAGTGATGGACATTTTGTCTGAGAACAAGAAAGAATACCCAAAGTCAGTTACAGAGTTCTAGAGACTAGTCACTAAATTTACGTAAGAAGGAAGTACATACGAGATAGTAATACAGTAAAACCTGTCTTAAACGGAATCTCAAGGGACCAGAAAAAAAATTCTCTGAAGCCAGGTTTCCGTTTAATCAAGGTATACTGTAATAACGAAACAGGACACAAACGTATTTGAGACAAAACACTAGGAGTAACTTCTACCGTAGAAAATCCTGCTTTTTCGAAACACTTTGTCACAGTTTCTGGTAACAACTACTTTACTGCTTGACTTATCCAAATAACTGCATCTAGAACCGAGACAGTTCTTGAAAGTTCAGAGGCGGATGATGTAGAATCTATATTGACGAGCAAAGATTGCATTAATAATTTACGATAGTGGACCTTAATATTCCGAATGATGCCCTGATCCATTGGTTGAGAAACACTAGTGGTGTTTGGAGGGAACCAAGCAAGTCGCGCGTTGGAAATTTCGATATGAGGGTGGCATGTTGCGTTATCCAAGAACAACAAAACATGCCGGTTTTGCATTTTCATTCTACCATTGAAGGCCGTTAACCATTCCTCCATGATCTGTGACGTCATCCATGCCATTTTGTTGGCTCTCCACTCAATGGGAAGTTTCTATATGTCAATGTTTCGGAAGCAATGTTTGCTGCCTTGAC